TATTTGTTGGTCATAGTGGGTTCTAGCTGCGGTGGCGAAACATTGCATGTATGGGTCCACGTTTTGGTATAGCCCCCATATAACGGTACCTCCCAATATTCGGTATTTTGATGATTTTTGTCGCATTTTTTCATGGATTTGTCTAAAAATTGGTATTTGTTGGTCATAGTGGCTTCTAGCTCCGGTGGCGACATATTGCATGTATAAGTCCACGTTTTGGTATAGCCTCCATATAGCGGTACCTCCCAATATTCGGTATTTTGATGATTTTTGCCACATTTTTTCACGGATTTGTCTGAGAAATTGTATTTGTAGGTCATAATGGATCCTAGTTCGTGTGGCGAAACATTGCATGTATAAGTCCACGTTTTGGTATAGCCCCCATATAACGTTATCTCCCGATATTCGTTATTTTGATGGTTATTGTCACATTTTTTCACTGATTTGCCTAGAAATTGGAATTAGTTGGTAATAATAGGTTCTAGCTCCGTTGGCGAAACATTGTATATATAGATCCATGTTTTTTTATAGCCCCATATAGCGGTACCCCCCTATATTCGGTATTTTGATGATTTTTGCCACATTTTCCCACGAATATATCTAAAATTGGTATTTGTGGGTCATAATTGGTTCTAGTGTTTCCATTACCCTAAGGTGGAGGGTATTAAAAGTTCGGCCCGGCCGAACTTAATGTTTTTTACTTGTTGATGTTTAAACGATGGATGATCTGCACAATAATGAAATCAATGCAAGAAAATGAATGAAAATTATTGCAAACTTTAACAATGCAGTGTAACATACCACAAAAAAACGCTTTTTTGACTAGCTTAAATCAAGGAACAAAGGGGTTTTAGGATGACTTAGTTCGAATTTGACCCTATACTCCTTTGTTCTTTTCCGAATAAGGCAGCCGACAACTTAAGCCAGTCAAAAAAACTTTTGGTATTGAAGGAGTGTTTTTTGTCAAATAAGCGTTTTATATATTCTCACCTTTTTTTTTGATGTTGAAAAGCCGGAAATCGAAAGTCCACACGAATCAAGGAGGTAAAGTCATGCAATCATATGTTTACAATTTTTTCATGGTAGAAAAATACAGGTAGATGCATCAACGCTTAGGAGCATTGATATGTCAAAAATTTTGAAATTTATTTTCAAATAAAAATAGATTTTTATATGTTTTCTTATACGACGTCATTCGGGGGTTATTATAATATGCCTTTTTCGACAATTTTTACAAATTTTAATAATTTTTCATTTAACATTTTCAATTCCAAAATTGGTTTGACAGTTCATTGTCTCAGCAGCTGCGTCGATGCGTCTACCTATATTCTTCTACCATGCAATTTTTCCAAAAATTATTCATTTGACAACATCTCTATGTCAAAATTTGTATTTATAAATCTATTGTACATACACAAATCAGAGATGGGAAACTGTTTTTATGTAGTGAAATGTGACAAGGTAAATTACAGAAAATGCAGAGATGAAAATGACTTTACCTTCTTAATTTTACCATGACACGAAGTTACAGATTGGATAAACAACATTCTAAGTGTTTGAATACTCGTAATGGGAAATGATTCACTCGAAAAATACATTGGACCATGGTACAATGATATCAAGGTAGGGCTATGATACCATATGATTTTAATTTTTTTTATTTTCTTGGCTTAAAATGTCATCTTTATTTGTTTATGTATGTATTTTCTTTTCAATAACAAAAAAATTGTTCAGAAAATATTCAAATTCGGGCGTTTTCAAAATTTTTATTTCAACGTATGCATCGACAAAATCTAGAGTTTTTGTAGCGAAATAATCCTTTAGAGATATATAGTACATGATTTTGAAAAAAAGTCTTGACCTTTAATTCAGTTATCGCGTTTTTCAATTATTTATTCAAAATAAATGCAACAAGTTGTTTGATTTTTATTGTTTTGATATAAATTCTGACATTACAAGCCAAACAGGTAGACCTCTATACTTGCAATTTTTTTAAAGTTGGCCTACCTTTTCTTCATTGTACCATGCATTGGACTTCCTCAAGGCAGTTGTTTAAATCCTCTTCTCTTTAACATATACACCTTGGGTTTACACGGAATATCCAACATCAACATTTATCTTCACATATGATTTTATGTTCTTATCTGCTCACAAAGACTTTGACTCAGCAAATTTTAGTCTACAATTGAATTAGTTCGATTTTGGCCGTAGACTCCTATGTTCATTTCCGAAGAAGCCAGCTAAATAAGCGCTTTATGTATTCCCCCCTTTAAGGTGAGAATACATAAAACGCATTTTTGACTCGCTTCTAATAAGTAACTAAATTTGGTTAAGCAAAGGTGCAAGTACATAAAAAGCTTGAAGTCATGGCTAGGCATATTAATGTCAAATTATAATGAAAAACGACGGAAATGCCTAGCCATGACTTTAAGCTTCTTATGTACTTACACCTTAAATTATGAATTTCGGTTGATTCTTATTGAAAATCAGAAGTGTTATTAATAACATTACGAATTTATTCCAAAAAAGATATATGTATCTTATTTGTTTAGTTTAGATGTTTTAAAATGACTAAAATGTGAGACAATTTTGCGATAGGTTAAATATCGTAATTGTTGTAGTAAAATTCGCAATGTCGATGAATCGGCAAAAATGGCAGCCCTGATACACAAACTTAAGTTGGGAATACATAAAGCGCTTATTTGGTCGGCTTATGTCATCGGCTGGCTTCTTCTTAGAGGAACAAAGGAGTTTTAGGTTGACTTAGTTCGATTTTGGCCCTGGCTCCTTTGTTAAATTCCGAAGAGGCCAGCCACCCACCTTTAAAGTGTGAGTACATAAGAAGCTTTGCATCGTGGATAGGTATATTCGTTTGAAATGATAAATATGACATGCAAGGACTTCAAGCTGCTTATGTATCCACATCTTTACACAACTTAAGTTGACATGTAAAGCAAAAAAAAAAAATAAAATAAAATCGATTCGTAGCCTCTTTTAACAGTTCATCTTTTGTTACTTCATTATCTCTTTGCCAATAAAATAGAGCACGCTTTGATCGATAGAATATACATGTACTTTACTCATGTACACTTTACTGAAATGGCGGTTTTGAACATAGTAACATTTTTACTTTCTCTCTGGCTCTGGAACATTTTTTTTGAAAATTGAAAAATGTACAGGGTTGCACAAGAATAACAATATTACATAATACCGTTGCATAAAATAATGGTTATGGAAATACTGTTATATCAAAGCTTTTCTTAAATAAACGAAAACTTTCAAATATTTTATAAAAATCTATTATAAAACGAATACGCATGGTGGAATGGAGAAGCTAAGGCCATGCAATCATATGTTTACAAAATTTTCAAAATTATTCATTTGACAACATCTCATTGCCGAAATTTATATTTATAAATCCATTGTTTGCACACACATCACAAATGGGAACAAATTTTCTTTTCATTAAAAGGTAAATTACAGAAAATGCAGAGATTTATATGCGTAACTGAAATTACTTTACCTTCTTAATTTTACCATACGAATACCATTGAATACGAACGATTCAAGTGAAAAAAAATGTACAAAAATAGGCTGTTAAATTCCATTGACATATAAAATCTATACGCACATTAACCCTGATAATTGCCCAATCACAATTCATGCATAAAACGTATTACTTTTGTACAAATTTTAGCGTTAACCAGTGTAGATATTTTGTACATTAACGTACTTTTAATTTCAACATTTGTTTACGTTTGCTTATTTTTTGTATACTTTTCGTTTTGTTATTCCATATATAATAAGTGTTTTGACAACTAATGCTAGGAACACAATTGGAGCGAACGACGAATTTCGCCCTACGCGGCGACAAAATGAGCCGCGAAAATTCGTCGTATGGAACACAATACCGACGAAATTATAAAACAGCTGATGAAGTTGTTTACTTTTTGCTCATTTGTTGACTACAATGAATTATACAAGAACACATAATTCTTTACGTTCTCTATTATAATTTCACTTATGTCCATCTTCTCTATTATAAATTCACTGATATCCATCTTCACTCAGGCGCAAGTACACAAATAAATAAACAAATTAATTATGTTTTTTTTTATACGAGTAACAGATAGTAGAGTGACCATAACAAATTTTAAAGTAAAAAGTAACTTTATTTACTAAAACACATAAAATTCGTACAAGTATGGCCACCTTGTACTGTTTTGTTCGCCGGTCGCCGGCGTATGAAATAGAAATAAAGCTAATTGAGTTCGCGGCGACCGACGAAATTTTCGCCGGTGCCGTGATTGTGTGCACTTCCATATACACATATGTGTTTTATTTTTGACGACGAACATACGCCGCGAAAAAATTCGTCGTTCGCTCCAATTGTGTTCCTAGCATAATGTAGAGGATCAGCTACTGTAAATCCCCTACATGTCTATTGTGCCATGACTTCTAAATCAGTTTCGACTCATAACCGCATTTTTATTTATGCCGCTCTTTGATAGAAAAATAAAGCAACGTTAGTATAAAAATAGAAATTGGTAACTAAAAACTGATTTTTTAGTGTTGTCACCTTTAGAGTTATTCAGTGATATGGAAAGTTTGAAACATGGTAGAAGAATATAGGTAGACGCGTCGACACAGCTGCTGGGACAATGAACTGTCAAACCAATTTTGGAATTGAAAATGTTGAATAAAAAATTATTTAAATTTGCAAAAATTGTTGAAAACCGCGAATTATAATAGCCTCTGAATGACGTAGTATAAGAAAACATGTAAAAATCTACTTATATTTCAAAAAACATTTAATTTTTTTTTTGACATATCAATGCTCCCAAGCGTTGATGCATCTACCTGTATTCTTCTGCCATGGTTTGAAATAACTACTTAAAATATATTCCGTCTGATAACCCTTTAATAGTAGTGACTCTTAGCTTCGCCGTCAAAATATTTACAAAGACTTAGCGTCGCTAAGAAAATTGTGCCGGCGCCGCTTGTAATATCGCGCACTTCGTACTCTAGTGTGGCTTCCATCCAAAACTTCCATAAACAATAAATATGTTGTGTATAGAAAAATAAAAAAAGATTTTGTAATGCGATTGCGACAGATTGATTAGAACAATGTTTAAAATATCGACACTGGTGGTGTTGCATTGGTTATTTGTATTGCAAGTCCTTTTCTTTTTGGGTTCGAATGCAAAATGCCCTGAAAAATGCATTTGCAAAAGCACCAATACAACGACATCCACCAGGAACTTAAAGGTGCGGTGTGATGTGAACAATAATGATAATGTATGGAGTTGGACATGGCAAAATTTAACTTTCGAGGAAGACGCTCCCAATGTAGTAATGTTGTGCGTATTGTAACATAGTTTTTGGCTTTAGTCCTATCTTCTGAACATTTTATAATTAATTCTAGAGACCTGAGTAAAAATGGCATCACCACGATTGACAAAGAGAATTTTCGAAATCTAACAGAACTGAAGCGTTTAGATTTGTCAGGGAATATGTTGAAAACCATCGACAAAACTACATTTGGCAATGCTTTTGAGAGTCTGGAACGCTTACGTTTGGCAAACAATTCCATAGCCCACATATACCCCGGATCATTTGACCATTTAAAAAACTTAAAGATATTGTATGAATTTGTTTTGTTTAAATCTGTTTTGTTTCGATCTCAATAATTTTCTTTTTAGAGATATATCATTTAACCCTCTGGCCTGCGATTGTGATCTTATGTGGCTTGTCAATTGGTCAAACACCCGTTTTGTTAAATTGCAACCACCACCCAGATGTGAGTCGGATGATTTCAAAGGGATGTATCTAAAAAAATTAAAAGTAGGTGTGGACTTGTACTGTGAATCGCCGCTACAGCCCCTGTTGGAGTTCATACCAAAACAAAACCAGGTGATTAGACAAATGCATGACTATGAGCAAAATATGTCATTTTATTTTTGTATTGTAGGTTGTTTTTGAAGGAGATGAACTAATATTAAAATGTAGAGCACCCCGAGTAGCCATTGGTGGACATCGCGAATCCGAAGATTTACCCACAAGAGCACATGTGTTTTGGGGCTGGTCTGATAGAATACGTCCCCAAAATTCTACGGAGGATATTGTCTACCGTGACCCTGTTCAAATATTTAATGACGTATTCTTGGAAAGTAAACACACAACGGACTCGGGAATATTAAATTCTGTTTTACGGGTAGCAAGTGTGCGAAAGAATCATACCGGAACGTTTGATTGTACATTAAGGTCGCAACAAGCCAATCTGTCCCATGCAATTTCTGTTATCGTTATTGCCAAAAATACGCTATATTGCCCGGCCATAGATGTTAAAACTAACAAGGGAAATTATCATTGGCCTCAGACTGTTCGTGGGCAGACTGTTGAACAGGATTGCGTTGAAGAATCAAATGGCGTACAAATGGCCACATATTACTGCGATGATTCAGGTAATTGGATTGATTTGAATACACAGGCGTGTTCATACGTTAGTCGAACAACAAGGTTGTTAGAGCAATTTGCAAAAATGGATCTCAATTTAAATAAGGCGAACGTGCTCGAGATCGCTAGAAGCGTACATAATTTTACACACACTTCTTCAAACCTTCGACGTATTCAAGACCCAATTGACTTGGAGTTTGTTGCCCGAACATTGGTAAAATACCTGGACTTTATAAAATATCAAAATGAATTAGCTCACTTATTACTTGACATTGTATCGCAACTCTTATCATTGCCCTATAAAACATTTTACCAAGCACAACGGGAATATGAAAGTGGACTTAAGCTGTTGGGATGTGTTGAGGCGGCATCTTTAGAATCTCATACCCAAGAAGATTCACATGATTTGAAAGATGATTTAATATCCATGCCTCGAAGTTTCTATGTGGACTATTTCAGTGTCCGCCCTGAATCCTTTTCTGGAATATCATGCGTGTGGATGCAAACACTCAGTTCATCTTCGTTCGAGTGCAGTACTTCGAACGATTCATTTCCGTCATTCGAGCGATACATCGACGCTGCCATTGAAATACCAGTCAATTCTTTGTTTGATAACAGAACAACTGTCAACCGAAATATAAAGTTAATGGTGGCTGTGTTTCGAAATGCGAACTTATTGCCATATTTAAGCGACGAGGACGATAACATTCTATCGTCTCCTATAATTGGTGCCAAAATCATAGGTGAAGATGAAACGAGTAATGTAAGTGCAGAAACACTTTCAGATATGGATGAAAGATATCACATTGTAGTCATACTAAGAGTCCATCCTTATCATAACGAGCGAAGCAAGCCAACGCCAGCTTGGTGGGATCCACAAGAAAAAAAGTGGGTTCCAACGGTTTGCCAACAATTGTATCTACACCGTGGACTTCTCATGTTTACTTGTAAACGTTTAGGTTACTTTGGAATAATTCAAAACAAGAAATATTTAAATGATTTCAAGAGCGAAGATGCAGGAGCCAGATTTCGATACCTGCCATATCCAATATATATTGGAACATCTGTGCTTTTCATTTGTTTGAGCATCAATATAGTAACATTTGTTGTATTTGGTAGAGCAATACGCATTAACCGACAGCAACGACATACGTTCATAAATACGTGGATGTCTTTAGCCTTGCTATGTCTAGTATTTTCTTTGGGAATTTATCAGACAAAGCGTCAGGACAATTGTCGTGTCATCGGAATTCTCATACACTACCTATCGTTATGCATACTATTGTGGTTGTGTGTGAGCTTAAGTACCATGTATAAACGACTTTCTAAGCACCACCGCATCATAGATTCTGATTTGCCGAAAGAAGCTCGTTTAAAAAAACCAATTACGGGTATTTATCTAGTTGGATGGGGCATTGCTCTAATGATATGCGGCATAAGTGGAGCCGTGAATATTAACGAATACTCTGCCTATTCGTATTGCTTTTTGCATACTGCCTCTGCTATGAATGCTATTCTTGTTCCTGGAGGGATTCTGCTCATATTTCTTGCAATACTTTTTCTAACTATATACTATCAATTAAATCATCGAAGTTCCGTCGCTAACATGATGCAAAATCATCAGTTTTCGGACAACACTCAAGCAACAGAAAATATAGATATGGATTGGCTCGATTCAACTGCCCCAGGCAACCAAACTCGCCGTACGAATGCCACTACGAAGTCCTATAACATAGATCAATATACAAGCCTTACTAGCAATACTGCGGCCAGCAGTATTGTCGACGATTTTGAACGATCTAACTTGTCCCATCTGAGAGCACATTTTATATTTTTGGTACTCTATGTAACAATTTGGCTATCCGCTTTAGCTTTTGTTATGCACTCTTCTCAGGCGGAACATGATTCAAGCCACATGTATTGCGTTATATTTACAATTTCATGCTGTGTACTCGGAGTTTTTATGCTACTTTTCTTCACACTAACAAGGAATGATACACGCCAGCAGTGGGCTCAAAATCCATGTTGTGGGCGACAACCTAACGAGGGATATGATGAGAGTAACTACAACGATGGTATTGCCCCCGTCGCTAACAGTGTATTGGCATATAAACCTTCATATGAGGGTGCTAATAATTCTGGCGCATCTCGATCTAATTCTCAGTGTTCAAAACATCGCTCCGGCAGCATACGCAATGGAAACGTTGATGGTACTACGCAACATCTACTAAGCGTATCAACATCGTCAGCACCACAGCCTGCAACGATAATAAACAATCAGCATATTACAGGCATCGGGGTAATGTCACACGAAATACCCAGCGCAGAGATCTTCTACAATCCAAACCAAATAAATGTGGCACGTAAATTTTTTAAGAAACAAAAACGATTGGCCAAAAGGAATAATTTCGAACTGCAACGACAGAAGGACCGTAGCGAATATGGTGGCGCTGGGCATGGTGCGGATACCATGAGTGATGGATCATCCACAACTGGTAGTACCAATATATATTCCAGGCGACACAATGCAATGACATTGAAACTATTGAGTAGCGGCGTAGGCAAAGTTAACAACACTAATTTAAACTATAAGCCGGACTACACTATGGGTTATAAGAATAGCAACTGCAATCCAGCACATCATCCCTTGTCAAATTTCGACGATGGTGGATTCTTCGTACCTGCGGCTCCAATTAGCAACCATAATGACAATTCATTACGGAAACGGGCCACAATACTATCGATGAATATTTACACAAATGTTAATGAGACAATGGTACCACAACACGAAGTCCACAAGGTCAAGACGAGATCCCTCAAACCGTTGGAGGAACACCATGAAGAGTTAGAGGAGATCGAAAGCAGTTCTCATGATGGTGAAAATGTTCCTCTTTATGAAAACACCAAGCCCGTGAATCAAATTAAACCTTTAACGAAAAACATATTTAATTCTTCGTTTTCAAGTGTGCCAGTGACCTCAACTCCAAATAAAATACTTTTAACTGCCAAAGCCGAAGATAATATGCAAGAGTCGTCCTCCCTACTCTTGGATAATGAGGACAAAGAGGCTATGAACAGCTTAGGTCTACCATCACCGTCTCCAAACAATGTTCTTTCCAAGTTGAGCGAAGTAGTCAGTAGCGATGACGAAGATGTCGCATGTAAAGAACCTGTGTTACAGCGTGATGAAATTTATGTATCTGAATCGTTACAAATAACAAATAGAATCGATGTTGGAGAAGATTTCGGTTCCGTGCTTATACGATGCACCAATCAATCGAAGCACTCTAAATCGCTTAACAATTTGGATGTTATCTTTGAAGGCGGAGCAGTGAAAGTAAAATCTAGCACTAGTGCTGACAATGACAAAAATAGTACCAACTATGGTTCCGAGAACATTTTGACACATACTACTCAAAGCGGCGTGAACCCTTCCCGCTGCCCATCATTTTATGAATCTCATAACACAAGGGATAAGAGCATATCATCGACTTCATTGTGCGCAGGTGATATAAAATCGCAACCATCCCAGAAGTATTTGATGGATAACGGAACATCGGTCGAAAGGGAGGCTAATGTTACCGAGCCATTTCATATGGTGGTTGGTTCCTGTACTAGATCTGGCAGCCCAACAAATGAAAGTGACCTGAATTATCAAAATTCAGAAATAAGTATACGGAGCCATGGTTTGTATGCTCCACAAGTAGACAACGACTTGACCCTAACAGATGATTTCCGTTATCAATCGTCAAATGCTAGTGAAGCTGATATGGGCTGCCTAAATGACTTTGATGATGAATACTCAGTTTTTGGAGCCAACAATTTCAACCATGACCACCACTTGGATGATGTCCATGAAATAGAGCACACGGATAATGTTGACACAATAAACACTTCCATTGACGAACTATACGAAGCGATCAAGCGTCGACGCAGCCCTCAAGATGAACATGCAAGTACCATCATTGTTGATGGAAATGCATGTGATGATTTGCCAGACCCTAAAAGTAACGTTATCGACGACCCTGCAGAAGATGTAGCTAAAATTGATGCAAACGCCGATACGAAACATCCATTCTTGTCACCAGTTTTAGTGCCAGAAAATGCAACAGATAGCAGTCAGAGTAGTGTAATTTCGTATATAGATCCCAAAACGGCTAGAAGTCCTACTAGCTGAAGACATCCCATTCAGATTCGAAGTCATAAAACATTTAAATATTGGTTCATTGTATCTCAAACTATGAATTTAAAAATTATAATCTCTTGTACTGAAGCCAACTGCAAATTTGCGTAACTTTTAAGTGATTGTGCATTAGAGTAGTAAGATTATTTATATTAGTATTATCATGTGCATATAATTAATATGTACATAAAAACATTTACGCATGTTTTTTGTATAGTTGCATCTCCCACACAAACATCTACATTTCTTTTTTTTTTTCACATATAAACATCTGTCATACTTTCATACTTATTATTAAATAGAGAAAACAACGAATAGACTTAAGATTGTTTTATATTTTTTAAGAAAATATGTATTTATAGTACTAAATCTTTTTTAATAAATGTACAAATATAATTCACAAAACAAAACATTAAGTCAGTAGTGAAGAATAAACAAAAAAAAAAAACAATTTGTTCTACTTCATAAGGGAGTGGACAACAGCATTTACGTTGATAGCTTTTAAGTCCGAATATGTTTGGCCAGTTCCAACAAAAACGATGGGCTGCCCGGTAATGTAGGTCATAGAAATGGCCGCTCCCACTTTGTCGTCAATAGTATCGAACTTCGTTAATACAATACCGTCAATGATGTGGGGATTTTCGTCGGAGGAATAGTCAGCGAGAGATTGATTGAACTTCACCAGCTGATCAACAGCTTCATTGCCAACCAATGCTTCGCCAACAAAAAGCACAAGATCGGGATCATTTACCTTAATGAGCTTGGCCAGCGAACGCATCAATGGTTCATTGTCCTGCATTCGTCCCGCTGTGTCAACTAAAACAACATCGACTCTTGTATCGTGGGCGAATTTTATAGCTTCCATTGCGATTCCAGCGGCATCCTTGCCATATCCCTTCTCATATAGTTGAACCATAGTGCGACCGCCATGTTTTTCTGCCGGATGTAGGGCATTTAAATGACGTGTGTGTGTTCTCAGTTGTTCTACAGCTCCAGCACGGAAGGTGTCGCAAGCAGCAATTAAAACATTAAAATCATTTTCTATTAACCAAAAACATATTTTGGCCAAATTCGTAGATTTGCCAACACCATTGACACCGCAGAAAATTATAGTATACGGTCTATTATTTCTCTTAGCTTCTAGCGCATCGCGTATAATATCGACACGACGCTTGGGAGATAATATACGCACCAAAGAAGTGCTTAAGGCTTCTTTAACCATTGTAGCGACTGAATCAAATGTACCGACCGATTTGCCTTCCAAGCTTGTACACACGGAGTCGCAAAGTTTGTGTGCAATGTCCGCCGCAACGTTTTTAGAAATCAGATGATCACGCATTTTTTCTAAAGCCGGCTGAAGATCTGTCCGCGACAAGGTTTTGCCGCCCACGAACCCCTTGAAGTACGACAATATGCCAGATTTTTTCTTATTGTCCGACTTTGAATACTGCAGTATTTCATTGTCTTCTGTCACTTCATCGTCGTCGCTTTCTACTTCCAAGTCTCGAATACTACCATGCATCGTACCAACAATCTGCAATATATATTTTTATAATTCTTATGTTCAGCGAAAGCAGAAACCTATTATTGTCACTTACATCGTTCTGAATATTTCTGTATTGCACATCTTCAGGTTGATCTTTAGAACGATCAAGAACTACAGCATCTTTCGAATTACCACCTAAATCCCAAACCCTTGGCTTTTTACCCGCCTTTTCTTTTTCAGCTTTGTTTTTATTTTCTGGGGGGCTTTTTTTGCCAGCCATTTTTCCCATCAACTTTTTGCGATTCTCCATAATTATGTCGGCATTCGAAATGCCTTTCTCTTCCACAGTTGGTTTGGGACTTTCCATAATATTTACCTGCTTCTTATGTTGATCCTTAGCTTTGTTGTCAGCAGGACTTTCAATTAGTGAAGCTACCGTTTTCTTAGACTTCAAGGACTCATTAAAGGAACGCATGGCCTTTGGGGCTTTACTGGTCTGTTTGGCGGCATTCTCGGCCGCTGACAAGGTGGCTCGAAACTCCCTTTCAAATTCATACTTCGTAGAAAATCTCTGAGAAGAAGCTAGTTCATCACCAAATTTGTTTTTAAATGCATCTTGCAATTCAATTAGAAAGTTGTCCACGTATGGTAGCTTTATGATCTTCTGATAAACGACAGCAAAAACCAACTCCAGTTCATTGTCCAACTTAAATTGGAGGGCAAAATTGTCTTCTTCGAAATATTTCGACTCCGTGCTGCGTTCCTAAGGAGAAATGGTCATTGTGTGAACACAAAGTGCAAAAAGATTAGGTCTTCGGAAAACAATGGTACTTACTTCTAATATAACGCTTCGTATAAGAGTATTGATGTAAGGGGTTACATTTTCCCCTGTTGTATTGCAATTCCACAATACAATGCCTCCTTTACTAAAAATTACGACAAAATCCAACATGATAATAAAAAATACTCCCGATGAAAACAAAAATAAATCTGTACACGTCACTGGTGAACGTCAACACAGTGTTGACATAAAATCAATGACAGTAATGTCATCGGGGCCAGGGATAATTTTATTTAAGTCGGCGCATGGCGGTGTTTTGCTATACAAACGACTAATAGCAGGTTTACATACAAAATCTACAACCTGGTTAACACTGATAATTGACCAATAACAATAATTGAAATGTATATTTTCTATAGTCAAATCTATTGTGCTTGGTTATTTGTCAGGGTTATAGTGACTTTATATAAGACAATTTATGTATAAGGCAATCATTAACAGATACGACCAAAACACCATTCTAAGTGAGAGTTTTTTGTAAGCGTCGGTGTTTTTTTTATATCATTCGGTCAGCTGTTTTCAAGCGTATTGTCAAAATGTATGCCATGGTAAATTAAGTTATCGAAAACGTCAACAAACTTCGACATTATAATTGTAGTTTTTCATTGTGACTTAAGGTACGGTCACACTGGGCAAATATTTGATCGAAATTTGTTTTCCCATATTTGACTGAACAAATGTGAAATTCATACAGAGTTGATTCGATGTTCACATTACAGTCAAATATTTGACAGATTTTGTTTGTTCAAACAGTCATCAAATAGCGTCAAATAGTGCTATGGGGAAACATGTTTGACACATGTTCACATTCGTAAAATATATTTTCCCAATAAATTGTTTGATCAAACTGTGAGGAAACATAAATTTATTTGGCCGAGAGAATTAGACAGAGAGAGTGAAAGAGAGACATAAAGAAAATGGAGTTTCGGGTATAATTTATTTGGAGAAGGGAAGCAAATTACCAGCTGTTGTGGAATAAATTCCTTGTCAGAACATTTTTTTTGCATTTTTGTATGTTTGTATCACGGTAGAAGAATACTGGTAGTCGCATCGACATAGCTGCTGGGACAATGAACTGACAAAACAATAATGAATGAAATATTATTGAAATTTGTAAAAATTGTTGAAAAATACATATCATTACGTAAAAGAAAACATAGAAAATTCTTCTTATTTTTGTCAAAACATTTCAAAATGTTTGACATATCAATGTTTCAAGCGTTGATGCATCTACGTATATCCTATTCCTGAACCTGCAAGAATCTACTAGTTTGTCAATTTTCTTCGATATAATAAAGGGAAAATCGGTAATCGTAGTAAAAACTTTTACATCTTGCAGTTCTGGAACAGACCATATATTAAATTTTTACTAAACATTCAAATTCAGTTAATTCAAAAATATCAAATAAACAAAACCACTTATTGTATTCGTTTGCTTTTCTATTCATTTAACATCATGTTACAAATGCTCCTGTTCTTAAAGCAAAATGCTGCCCAATGTTTTAAACTGATATTTTTCCTTGTTTGACCTTACAAAACATTTGCACCGTCAAATAAATGTTTGACCAAAAAAGAGGAAAATAATTGATCATAGGTGTTCACATTATGGACACACTGGTCAAATTTTTGTTTTCTGGCAAATAATTTTGTTTTCCCAAAATCAGCTGTTTTTGTATTTACCGTCAAATAATATTTGGTGGTCAGATTGTGACAAAGAAATATTTGACATTTTTCGTCAAATATTTGCTCAATGTGACCTTACCTTTACACGACCTGTGTAATGGGTCTTGACTTGGCATATATATTAGGTCATCCGGTAAAACCAGCTGATTTTATTCGAAAAGTCAAATTTGATCCTAAATGTGAATTATTCGCAAGGTACCATGAAATAAAGATAACCTCATTTCAGTTTAGCATTCCCAGCTCTGCATTTTCTGTAATTTACCTTGTCAAATTTTAATGCATAAAAAAGGTCCCATCTCTGATTTTGTGCGTATACTATGAATTAATTAATATTTATTTTGACAATGAGATCTTGTCAAATGCATAAATTTAAAAAAATGTAAACATATTACATGATGGCATGACTTTAACTTCTTCAACTTACTGCTTAAATTCAATTGTCTTGTCAATCATTCCCAACACGATCTAGAAGATGTATGGTTATATGATGATCCATGGCCCAATTATAAGGTCTTCCTTCGAGCGAATTAATCTAAAAAACAGCTGTTATTTTACTAGATGAAATGTCAAAATTAATGCTAATGCTCACATACACAAAATGTGTATATGTTTTGACATGGTACAATAAAGTGTGCCCGACTTCTAAGTGTGCCCGACTTCTGCCAATTTTGTGTACGCATCAATTGTTTTGAAAAATGAAAAAATATTTTCAAAACCAATGATTGGAAGACAGTATAGCCATGAAATTGAAAGATTGAACAGTTAGGATCATATTTTTGAGGGAAAAATCCAGACATTTTATTCATTTTTCGCGCAATTTAACTCCTTTTTAAAATGCGGAAAAATATATATAAAAAAAAGAAAAACAATAATTTTGAATGAGTCTGACAGGAAGCGGGCATAGCCTCAGGGCTGTATTTTTGTAGTTTTACGAAGCTGTTCTACCTCCATATTGTACCATGATGTTTTGACAGAATAAGGGCACCAAAAGAAAAAAATTGTAGAACAATGTTGGCTTGTTTGTTCGGGATACCATAGTATTTTATTTTTGCAAAATGGACAGGCTTAATCTCTTTATTGTTGTTTTTATCAAAACAACGTTTGTTTATCAGTGGAGAACGATGGTAATGTTTACCAGGGGGTAAGGTAGGGGATACCTAGGTTACGGAAAGACCCACCAATCCTCATCAGTTCCCTTGTTTTTGTTTTCTGGAATATTCTCCCCAGAAGTTATTTTAAAAATAACTGCTATGACAAAAAAGAATTACATAAAACTACAATATAGGGATTAAACCTGACCATTTTGCAACAACGAAAAAATTGTATTTGGGGGTAGCTTTGTTCTGCCTTCTGTAATTGTGTCATGTTAACACCGTATCGTATTCACGTTTAGGTTAGTTTAATCTACATTTGGTATGGTTTCTTCTACAAAACTTTAGCGGAAACAATGACTATAATATAGAACGATATATTTATGATTTGGTTTAACTGTTCACTATTTATCTTAATGATCACCAGTCGAATAGACTTCTTGATTTTGATTCTGCCTCTTACAACGTTGGACCTCCATCTCTAGGTCGTATAGGTCCTTTCTAATACGCTTGGATATGGGAGTTTTATCTAACATATGATGTTTGCTTGGCTCCCCAAGCAGGTACTGCAACGTGATGGATCTTCGCCAAGCTTTGCGAGATAGGGGCTCACTCTTATGTATATGTCATCAACGACAGGGTCCGATGTAATCATCCGCATACGTAACGATCCCTACGTTGTCCGGCGAGGTAGTGGTTGAACTGTTCCGTAGGAAAGATCACACATCTTGGGGAACTCCTGTGGATTTCTTGTTTAGCGCTTTAAATCAGTTAACATTGGTAACTATGTTGTTATGGTATCTATCAACAGAGGTATTTTCACAGGGTTGCCATATTTTGACTCAATCTTGTCCTATATTTATACTTTTATGTTTTTGCTTTCTTCCTGTACAAAAAGACAGCCGATGACTTAAGCCTGTTAAAAAACAGTTTTATGTGTTCTCACACTTTTTCTAATGGCGACAAAAGCGAAATTGGCTTGTATGACTCGCCTTTGCTAGCGTCCTTGCCTGGCTTCAGAAGTGGGTCCACATTCCAGGCCCAACGCTTTGGATGGCTGAGCGTTGACGATGAAATTTACATCTCACATCGGAAGTGATACCACTTCGACAGGAAGATATTTTATACGTCGTAGTACTTTCACCGCATTTCTAGAATTTTTCGAGAAAATAAGAAAATAATAGAATGTACTAGTTTTGCGATTTCATAAAGGGAAAATCGGTTATCGTACTAAAAAGTTTTACATTCTTGCAGTTCTAGAACATGGTACATTGTCAATATGTTTATTTACAATTGTATGTACACAAATCAGACATGGAAAACTGTTATCTATGCAGTGGAAATTGACACTGATGGCCAAAACAAAAGCAACTGAAATTACAAGGAGCATGAATGCCCTGTAACTTTTTTAATCATTAAGAAAATGAGAAACGTTTTCTAGTTTTAAAATAGGCACTTTATTCACTTTTAAAAAACTTAAACAAAAACCAAAATTCAATTTTGTACAAAAAAATAATGTATGGTAAAATCAATTAACCCAATTTAGGCTTGGACAAAACCAAAGCAACACTGTTGTACATTCATATGATCGCTGCAATTTCAGTAGTTTTTACTGTTATATTTATCGCTTTTTGTTTCATTCAACAAATTCGCTTGTCATAAATCATTTTTGAGAAGTTTTTTACTAAAACACGTGTTTGTTTTCGTTTTTTAAGTACTGCCCATGACACAATTACAGAAGGTAGAACAAAGCTACCCCTCAAATATAATTTTTTTCTTTTGGTGCCCTTATTATGTCAAAACATATACACATTTTGTGTATGTGTGTGTATTGTTTTGAATGAAAAATACAATAATATCAAATTATTTCAAATTTGGTTGCAAATTTTCGAGGTAAATGGGTAACAAATTGTACAATTCTGTAATAAAATTTTATTTTCCTACTATTTTAGATTCCATCTCGAGGAATAACCCCGAAACTCCATACTTGTTTCGCGCGGTTTTCCCAATATAAGAATTTTGTTTAAAAAAAATTAAAAATAAACAAAGCCTACTGTTGCATATTTAAAAGTCTATTTGACACTATAAGACTCCAGCACGGATTTGCATTTTTCTAGTTCCTTTGAAGTTGAGGCAAATTCAGCACATGAATAAAATAGCAAATTATCAGTGACTATGAAAATAAGCCATCGCAGAAAATAATTTCTGTGATTTCTCGGCATAATGAAACTGGATCAATAGTAACAGTCTATAACGGGCGAAGGACGTAAAAAACTTCAGCCTGTAATGATCAACAATTTAAGAGTTCAACTGAATTGGCGAGAGAGCTGCCATTGGATATAAGTTCGAGATCAGTGCGTAGGCGTAGGTGCCAATTGTACCTGAAAAAATCGAAACGATAATATTAATTGGAATCATG